TGAGGGGCCGAAACGGCACGGCCCCGGTCGCGCAGATGAGGAAACAGAGGCTCCCAGCCGGGAGGGCACTTGCTCCACCTCCCACGACGCAGGAGAGCGGGGCTGAGGCGCGGATCCTCGAGCTGCAGGGGGATGGGGACCGCAATGGTTTCCCAAATGTCGGGGCGTCGCAGGACCGAGGTCTCGTGAATCCGGGCTCCGGAGCGGCGTGGTTTGGCCGCTCCTGAGCGGTGTCTCTACGTGCATCCGTCCGTCCGACCGCAGACGGTTATGCAGAGACGCAGGGCCAGACGCCGGCGCTACCTGGAGGGGTCCCAGGCAGTCATTCGCAGCAGGTGCAGCCGCGGTGGAGCTGAGTAAGGCGCACACGCGGACGGGTCGTGCTGCCCCAACCCCCTTCCACCCCCGCACTTGGCGCTTGGCACATAGTAGGTGTTCAGCTGTTCGTGGCATGAATGGATCTTGAGGTCCAGGACGAACTCATTATCCCCCATCTACTCCAGCCCGCCCCTGTCTCGCTACAGCGCCCCCATTCGTCCTCACCAGGACCCCGCAGTCGTCCTGCCCCTCCCGCCCCCTCCCCTGTCCTGCCTCTGACCTCCTGGGGACACTCGGGTCTGCGCCTCCCGCACCTGCACACCCAGCGCCCTGGTTCTTCCCTCGTCTTTTCTATGGGTCACAGCAACGACCTGACGGAGCTGCCACCGCGCCCCAGCTCTGCCCACACGTACCGGGTGCTTCTCACACGCCGACCTGACCGGGTCAGCCCAGGCTTTAAAACCTCCCGCAGCTCCCGATTCCGCTCGGAATAAAATCCAAACGCCTCTGGCACACAGAAGAGAATAGATTTACACCTGACTTTTTATCAAGAGTCACGGAAGCCAGAGAAAAAATAGCCGTCATCCTAGAACTCGACCAGTATATACAGTGAAAATAGTTTTCGAGTTATCCACTGAAATACTAATTATCCTGATTCGATTACGACATATTGTACGCATGTATTGATATTCAATTCTGTGCCCTACAACATATATCATCATTTATGTTTCAATAAAAAAAAACTGTCAATGAAAAAAAAGTTATCCACTCAGTACAAGGTACATGTGTCCAGAATGAGGGTGAAATAACGACGTTTACAAATACAAAATCTAAGAGTTTGCCAGTAGCAGACCGTCCCTAAAGGAAATTCCAGCGGAGGAACTTCAGGCAGAAGGAAGATGATCGTAGACAGAGGCCTGGTGCAATAGGGAATAAAGAACAATGAGGGGCATTGATAATGTAAAACAATAACAATGTCTTCTGGATAAAAATAGAATTAAAATACACAACGATGGCATGTAACAAGCGGGCAAAGTGTTCTAAGATCCTTACCTTCTTCAGAGGAAGGTGAAGTTAGATATCAAATACACTTAGACTTTGATAAGTTAAGAATCCAAGTTAACTAGGGTAGACACTAAACGAATGTAAATACAGTGAAAAATATTTATCTAAGTTATTAGAGGGGAAAAATAGAACGAGGAAATCAACCCAAACAATCCTAAAGCAGACAAGAATGGAGAGAAAAATAAATACAAAACAGGTTAGACAAACAGATGATAGTTATGAATTCAAGTGTTCTATAATTTGATAAGTGCAAGTGGACTAAATGTTGAAGTTAAAATACAAAGATTATCACACACACTGAATAAAATCCAGCTAGATGCATTTTACAAGAGACGTCCACAAGAGACGCTTTCAAAATGTAAGGACACTGAAAAGTTGAAACTGAACACACAGGGGGAAAATACCATGCAAATGCTAACAAACAGAAGACCGGTGCAGTTATTTTAATATCAGAAAGAAAGCATTACTAGAGGTAAGGAGGGTCACTTCATAATGAGAAGGGTCCAATTCACTAGAAAAATAGAGCAATATCAAATTTATATGCAAATACCATAGTCTTAAAATATGAGAAACTATAGTGGGAGATTTTAAAACACATTCCTCTGTAATTAGCAGAACAAGCAGAAAAATATTCAGTAAGGATATAGGAGATTTGAATACATGATTATCTTGACCAATGGACTTTTGTAGAACCCTGTGTCTATCCTTTTCAAGACATAAGGAATATTTACAAAAACAGTTAATCTCAAGAAATTTCAAAAGTCTGAAATAAGATAGAGTACATTCTGTGACCACAACACTTACCAGCGAGAGATCAATAACAAAAACATAACTTCAAAAGCCCCACATATTTGGAAATTAAGAAGTACATTTCTGAATAACTGATGGATCAAAAAACTTATAATGGAAATTATAAAATATTTTTAACTGAGAATGGCAATATTACATATTAAAAATTGTGGACTCTAGCTAAAGCACTGCTTAGAGGGAAGTTTATGGCCTTTAATGCTTATGTTACAAAAGCAAAAAGGCTGAAATGAGCAAGCACCCATTTCAAAAAAACTAGAAAAAGAACAGCAAAGTTAACCAAAGAGAACAAAAGGTAAGAATGAAAGGGCAGAAAGTAATGAAATAGAATCCACAAAAACAAAAATTATTTCTACGAAAAGACTAATAGTGCTAATGTCCCCTGGTGAAATTGACCAAGAAAAAAGAAGACACAATTAACTAATGTCAGGAATTAAAAGCTAAAGAATCTGCAGATATTTTTTAAAAGGAAAAGAAAAGAGAAGAGGATACTGAGACATAAAGCTGCAGCAGATAAGAAAATGTCCTATCCACACAAGAATAGACAAATAGGACAGTGGAACAAAATTAGAGCCCGGGGGTGGGGAAGAGAGAGACTGAAATTGCCAATCAGTGGGTAGAGGATGAACTTCTCAATAAACGGTGCCAGGATTATCAGTTATCTCTATGTGAAAAAATTAAACCATTAAATCTCCTACCTCACAAAAATTGATTCCATATAACTTAAAAACCTAAATGTGAAAGGCAAAATTCTGAAACTTTTAGGAGATGATATTTAAAAATATCTCTATTATCATGAGGTAGGGAATAGTTTCTTCAACAAGAAGCAAAAAGCTTAAGTCATATAGGAAACAATTGATGACTTCAACGACATTAAAACTATGAACTCTATCAAAAGGCTGTATACAGCAAACAGAAAATAAAAACATTTTAAACACTCACAGATTGACAAGGAGATGATGTGAGGAATTCCTGTGAATCAATAAAGAAAATGGACACAATGGACAACCAACCGTGACAAAATACAGGGGTGCAGAAGGTGGCAAAGGACTCACACGGGCACTCCAGAAAGAGGAACAAGTGACCCATACACATTATGAAAAGTTGCTCAACCTCGTGAGTAATGCAGATAAAAACCCACAACAAGATACAACTTCACCCCCACCTGATTAGCAAAAATTTAAAAGTCTGATAAAAAATTCTTGCAAGCACTGGCAAGAATGTGGAACAAGTGAACTCTCGTACACTGCTGGTGAGCATAGAAATGGATTCAACCACTTTGATAATCAGTTTGGCACTATTAAAACAAATTTAAACCTGCACATAATCTGTGACCCAGCAATTTGTCTGCTTGGGACATATCTTCGAGCAATTCTTGCAAATGTGCAACAGAAAACATGTTTTAAAATGTTCATAGCAACAATATTCGTAAAAACCTGAAACTGGCAATACCCCAAAAATCCAGTAGATGAGGCAGGTAAATAAAGTCTGGAATGTTTACACACTGTATTATAATTCAGAATTGAAATGGAATGAGCATCCATCAACTTGAATGAATCTTTCAAAATAATGTTGAACAAGGGAAATAAGAAAATAAACCATATGGTGCCACTTATATACAGTTCAAAACCAGGCCAAGCTAAACACCATGTTGTACAGTGACACATCAGTAGATGGTAAAACTAAAGAGAAAACAAGGAAGTGATATTGCAGAGACCAGAATAGTGATTTCCTCTTGGGGAGAGAGGTGAGTATGAACACAGAGGGATGCTCGGTCCTGGCGATGTGCCCTTTCTTAATTTGGGAGTTGGTTATGTGGGCGCTAGAATTATTATTATTCTTGGAACGTTTCTATGTTTTACACCATCTTATGTATATATTGAGTGTCACAATTCAAAAATTAAATTAAAT